AGACAGGGCAACAGAAAAGGACCCGTCCCACACCTGAAGTGGTGAGCAGCAAACAGCTTCCAGACATGAATCAGTGCTGGGAATCAGGAATCATTTGAATAGTGACAATAGCATGATGAAACCTGGAAACTTCCAGGGAAATGGTGTACAAATTTTTTCACTTGTGTTCACATACATCTGGTTGTGGTCTTTTGCAATTCTCATGGCTGAATCTCAGTTCCAATACACATGAGATAAATCAAACTTCTGCACTGATCTTATATTGACTACATTCAAATTCAATCTCACACCTTCTATACCAGAGTATAACACCACGGAGGTAAGCCTGTAATTCCTCTGGAATTGCTTTACTGCATGTCAATTTGCAATGAAATCTTGTATCAACTCTTTGGTATTTCAGGGCCATTGAATTTTTGTATAGAAGTAAGATTTTTCAAATCAGACTAAAAGCAAAATTTTGGTTGATGTCATCTATACTCCCAGTACATTTTCCAAAGACTTATACGAGTCTGTGAGGCTCAGCACATGTCAAGTTCTGCAGTGTCTATCCTGTCTCTCAAACCCTGTTCTCCACAATCACCAAAGCCCAAACTCACCATGCTGTCCCAGCATGTACAGACCCTTGCAGATCATCAGGATGAGTCAGGAGGAGCTGTGGACATCGGCTGCTCCTCAGTTTGGGTTACAGTCAGTGGGGATAGGTCGAGCCCAGCATGCCTCCCATGCTGCCACAGCTTCTCTGCCTGTCCTTGCAGACAAAGACCACTACAAGCTCAGTCTGTTTTAGGTGGGACTCTGCAGCTCATTCACAGGGTTCTGCTGCAGGATTACAGGCAGTCTGAGGTTGCCTTAGTGGAAATGTTAAGTTAGGGGGTTCCTACACAAAGTAATATGGTTTTGTCAAGCCAAGACGTAGGCAGTGTTCTAGTTTACATCTTGTTTCAGTCATTGAAAGTATTGAGACAGACATACAAATGGATGGGGCTAGCCAACTACAAAAAGTGAATTCATGAATGAAAGATGACTACGGGAGGTTATGTAACATTTCCTACCCAGGAAGGTTTCAAATCACACTGCAGTGAAATGCAGTTGGCTGACTTCTGGCCCTCGTCCCTTCCCCATGTCCTGTGCACTACTTCTGGAAGACAGAATGACTGCATACAGCTAAAGGTTATGACTTCTACTTAAATGGAGTAAATTCAATTATTATGTGGACATTTTTGAGAGATCCACATGTCTGTTAGCTGGAGGAAAGAGACTCCTTATCATTGACCAAAGGATAAAACAAATCAAAGAATTGAGGGTGCCTGAAGGTCACACAGGTAGGTTACACTTACAGGAAAGCTATTTCCATTGTGGTTTGTTGCTCAAGATTATTATTGTAAAGACTTATCTCTATACTTGCATCTTTTCCCACCAGATGTCCCAATTAAATTGTTGTAAATACAAAGTAATTAGAGAAACAAAGCAAAGCAATTCTAGACACTGTGAGAAGATGGTAAATCCGCAAGTTGAGATGTGTTAAGTTTGATTGCTTAACTATTAGTGACATAGATGCGCTAGTTGTCATCACATTGTTTGTGCTGAATCTGAACATCTAATCCCTTCCTCAGGCCTTTCCTTCCCTAAAGCAGTGGGATCTTGCTGAGAAATATCTCAATGCTGCTTGATCCAGCCAAACAGGAGAGAAGAACTGGCTTGTCTTTCTCCTGAGATGAGCTGACGCAACGCCAAGGGGCCCTGGCTTGACCTTGGTGCTCAGGCAGGAATGACTGGAGGGTTTTACCATCAAACAGAATGAAAAAAATGATACACAGCCCTGTATCACAGGTGCCAAGGTACTCCTTTGCAGAGAGACACCTTGGGTAAAATCTATGGAAATGGACTGCAGAAGCTAGGAAGATTCTGAATCAGATTGTGCCTCGCAGGACTTAGCTTCAGAAATTGCAATGCAGAAAACAAAACATTTTTGCTCTGCAAAGATATTTGCCATGTTTGAATTTTATTTTTAGTTAGTCAAATTGAATAACCAGATAACAGAACAAAACCAATCATGTGTCCTGCAGATCCTAAGAAAACAGGTCTATCCTGTTTGGTAGGACTTTAAATACAATATTGCATAATTCACAAGTGAACCAAACGAAAGATTTCTCAGGAATTTTTGGCAATACTTTTTTGCTTGATATTCACTATAGGGGGTAGAAACCAGCCAACATCTCATCACCCATGCAGCCACTTGCTTGCTCCCCATGCACAGTGGGAGAGATTAGGAAGTGCAGATAGTTTAATAAATGAAAGGATGAGGTGGTGGTGGAGGGAAGTGCTGCACAGGCTCAGCACCTGCTGCAAACAGATTGATGTCCAACCAGCCTCCAGGCAATAACCACCTTGGAAGACAACCCTCACTCCACCTCCTTCTTATGCTAGCTCAGTTTTATTGATGAACATGACATTATATCATATGGAATATTCCTTTGGAGAACTCAGGTGAATTGTCCCTGATGTGCCCCTTCCCAGCCACTTTTCCACCCAGCCTCTTCCATACAGTGTGAGAGCTAAGTGTGAGCAGAGAAAGTCATCACATTGTGGGAACACCCTTCACCAATACCCAGAGCATGGGGGTAGAGCACTATACATGCTGCTATTAATAAATTTAATCTATCCCAGATAGATCCATAACACCAACAAAGATTTTTGAACACTTCTTGACTTCTATGAACTCTTGTCTGCATTCAGATTGGGCAGAATTCAGTTGTGCCTTCTGCCCAAGTCAAATGACCAAGACAGTGATCATTCACTACTGAATCATTCATTTCTACTTCACTTTTTCATCCTAGTCATGCTCAAAGGAGACTCTGGTACCACTTTATACTGAAGTATTTTTCTCTATAACTCAAAAGATCTGATGTCTATCAATGAGTTCCACATAGGACATAGTTTTATGCAGCATTCTTGATCACAGCAGGGTTACTATCCTCAAAAATGTGACAGTATAAACTTTTCCATGGCAATGTTAATGGAATTTACAGCAATTTCTATTATTAAATATCTCTACAGTATTACTTTGGATCTCCTTGACCTTTGTTTACACAGGTCATACACTCCAACACAGACAGGTTCTCTGCTGAATACAAGTCACACAACTATGATGTTTGTGCAGGAAATTATTTTTCCTGACCCATAATATTTTTTATTATTCAAGACCAAGACAAAGCAATAAAGTCTGCAAAATTCACACAGCTAAATCTAAAGAAACAGAATCTGTTCCTTTTTGATTTTCATTTTGAATTTCCATTTCCATTGAAGCCTAAGATTTCTTCAAAATCTTCTCACTTTTTTGAGAAAAAAAATACTAGAAATGGCAAACTTCCAGCAGAAAATTAAATCCAGCATAGAGCTTGTCCTTTTTCATCAGGCTCTTGTGTTTAAACTCTCCTTTTTAGTTTTGCCCATAGCCCAGTCAAAGATATATGTAAGTTGCTCAACAGTCCATCAGCTCCCAAGCCCTCAGATTCCTCTTGTGTCTATGAGGAAATAGTCAGTCCCACACACTGGAGTCATGGAGTTCAAAGTGTTTTAAACACATCCTCATCTCCTGCAACCCAGAACCTGGTCCAGATCCAACTTTATTAACACAGTCATACATAAAGGCAGCTGTTGAGGAAGAAGGAGGTGAACCTACTCCTAGCAATAAAATGTTTAGATTTTTTTAATCAAGCCTAAACATTTGGACATGGATTGATTTTCTGTAAGGTACAAAAATGCACAGAAATGATCACATGTCAGTAACTAGGCTGTTTTCAATAATAGGTGACAGCGTCATTCCTTTAGCAGCTGTTTCAGACATTACTGTGTACTGCAGTCCTCTCCTGCATAATTCAGCTGTGTGAGGTATAGATCATCTTTCTCTGAAATGAAATTCTTTCTGGTCATCAGTCAGAAGTACATTGGATACAAGCTAATAACCCACAAACACTTCCATACACATTAAGCTATAGCCATAAAGAGCTCTCAGAGTGTGAGAAATATCAACCTTATTTTCCTATTTATGCACATTTCCTTTCAGATTAGAGGTAATATGGTCACAAAACTGCACACCCTGAGATAAAAATCATAAATCAGTCTGTGGACTGGTGTTTCCAGGCCCCAAAGCTATCCAGTGGAATTTAGCAGAGTGAAGCTGGGACCAGTGTTGGTATCAGAGGGCTAGGGAGGTTACAGCTGCCCTGCTCTGTCAGTGCTTCATGCAGCTTTCTCAGGTTGCACTGGTACAGCAGGAGGTCTAATACAGCTCCATATTTCTTAGAGAAAGCTCCTCTCTTACCCCTGAAAGGTTTCACCTACTCTTGCAAGCTGTATTCTCTAAGAAGTTCTCAAATGTGAAGAGATTCTTCTGATAGGGCATCCCATTTCGAAGGAAAGGGACAAAGGCACCTGATGTTCTCCTAGTTATATAGGGTGCTTTTAAAGAGCTGTCTCCTGAACTGCAGGAGCCTCTGCAAGTTTACTTAACTGGGCAGTGCTGTAATGTCAGTGGTTTCAGTGAGACACTGCTTGCACCCATCTCTTCTCTGCCTCTACAAAGACTGATACAGGCAAGCAGCCAAAGGGCTCTTGCAAAATGCCTTTGTGTATAAGGAACATGGGAAAAGCAGTCTGAAGTGATTACACAGTAACTGTACCGATAAAGTTACAGAAAGTGAATTTCCCTATGACCCTGTGGTTTCACTACTGGAATAATATGAAAAGAGAGAGACAAAGCTGGCTGCTAGCTGTGACGTGACATCAACAGGGAAGTTACAGGAAAGATTTGTTTAAGGTGATTTCATTTACTTCTTAAAGCATTGATGACATTACACTAACAGAACCAAAAAGTGAGTCACATGTGTAATTGCTGCTTGGAGCTATCAGGATCTATATAAGGGTTTTAGCTCTGGTCTTCAGAGACAGAAAGTCAAACTCTTTCTGCTGCAGCAAGGCTCCTCATCAAGATGGGCACCATGCACTACCTCCTGCTTTGTGCTCTCATCTTCCTGCCTGAGACTCCTGCTTTTCCACTGCAACCAAGACCAGAACCATGGAGCATCATAGACCTTGAGAAAGTAAAGGTATGTTACATTGGGGGAAACAAAACTACATTATGAATAATCTGATTTTGATTCAATTTCTACATTCATTTCCTACCTGTTTGTATTATCCTTGTCTTACATTACAACAACAGTTTTTGCAGACGTGATATAAAACAGTTTAAACTTGCTGACTAGCTTAAACCTCTTAAGGCTCACTTTAAAAAGAGACCAAGTTCCAACTGGTAAATAAAGGGGAGCATTTTACAAATAAGTCCAAAATTTTATGTGTACTGTTTTAGAAGGCTGTAGATTTGAATGCTCAGTAAATTGTGGTAACTTGACAGGATTTCTTACTTACAGTGTCTCATTGCTGTTACGATTCTTTTTATATATGCTGATCTCTATTACTGAGAGAGCAGAATTTAGTAAATAGAAATGGAAAGACACAAATAAAATTAGAAATGGATGATGCAGAATGATGAAACCATTCAAACAAATGTAAAATGCAATTACCAAAATATCACAGATATACATATTAATCTTTATTTTCCCTCTCTTCTTCCAGAGATATCTCGATAAATTCTTTCCAATTTTGTCAAAAACACAAAACCTAAGCATAGAAGAAAGGATTAAAGAAATGCAGAAGTTTTTCCACCTGACTGTAACTGGCAAACTAGACAAAGAAACAGAAGGAATAATGACAATGCCCAGATGTGGTATGCCTGATGTAGCAGACTACCAAACATTTCCTGGAACTCCAAGATGGAAAAAGACACATTTAACTTACAAGTAAGTGATATTTCAGGTTTTCTGGGGAAGGGGATTGCTCTGTATTTGACTAGGTGGGTTTCCTTCACAGCCTGAATGAAATCAACCTGTTTTTCTTTCCTGACAGGATTCTCAGTTATACCCAGGACCTACCCAAACGGAAAGTGGATGATGCAATTAGAAGGGCCTTGATGGTATGGAGTGATGTGACTCCACTGCAATTCCAAAGAGTTGACAGGGGCACAGCAGACATTGAGATTAGATTTGCACGTCGTGGTGAGAATACCTGTCCTTTTTAACATACAATGCCATATGTTACTGAACTGTCCTTTTTAACATACAATGTGTTTTAACATACGTTACTGAAAGCATGTATTTTTATAGCCATAGCTTTAAGAAAGAACAAAGAGTTGGGAATTAAATCAGTCTCCACAAATTTTATCTACTTTATATCATGCCACCAACTTTCTATGCCATTCTTCAATTTTACTCCTATAAGAGAGTTAGAAAAATCCTTTCAGAGTCACAGCTGTGAAATGAAGGGAGAATCCGGCCCCAGAATGAGACACGTAAACTTAGAGGTTCAAGGTGTTTTTGCCTTGATAAAATGTGCAAAATACTAAGAAGAGCTCTGTAGAGCAAATCAAAGGGTTCTGAAGATCCAGCCTCCATAGGCTGCATTCAAGCAGCTTAAGGCAGGTTTACTTAGGCCTAGACCTAGCCTGGCTCCTAGACTAAGTACCCTTTGGCAGCTGGGGTGCATTTTGTTTGGCCATAGAACGTCTCTTCTGGTTGATTTGTTTCCAGAAGGAATTACCATGTTGCACCCCAAGATTGCACCAAGGTGCAGCAGCCAAATTGTGGTAAGTGGGGTGAACAGAAGTCACTTCAGAAATCCATCTGTGATCTGGAGTAGTCTATGGACGTAGCTCTGCCTTGAACGTGTGCCTGGCATGTAAACTGACAGCTTAGACTAACTAAATGCCTACTTTAAGGTTGTCTGGCTTGCTCTCTAGATCCACTGACAATATTCACTAAAGCTCCATTGACTGGTAGCGCAGATCAGGCACGTGGCCTGCAAGCAGATGAGCACAGAAATGTCCAAAGCCTGTGTGTCGCTGATGGCAAGAACATTAGGGTGCCATAAATAGGTGACCTCATGTCCCAGTCAAAGGCAGAACTGATACTTCAAGCTGGAATGGGTTTTAATTCCATGTCACACACTAGAATTAAGTCTCTACTGCCTGTGTTAGTCATGCCCTAAGGGCCATCCACATGGTCTGGGAGAAAGGACACAGGATGGCATCTCATTTCCCAACTACTCCTCAGTAAATTCAGAGACTCACTAGGAGGAAGAGGGAAATTTTCCCAGTTGGTTCAACTCTGATCCAGCTCTTGCACTTGAGGTAGGAAACCTGCACCATGACAGAAGTAGATAATAGACCAGACCTCAAGGCTGGGAATAAATTACTTTATCTCTACAGAAACATGGTTAACTATCCAAAATCACCATCCACACTAAAATCAGTGCAAGTGAGAATGTCTACAGCTAATATTGTCCAGCACTTTTCAATATCAAACACATTTAGATATTAATAACAGTGTTGTCAAGCATTAAGTATTTATTCTGAAATCATCCCTCAGGATCACACTTCTGACAAAAGCTCAGGGAAAAAATATTCAGCTCTTCCTGAAACATGCAGCAGACCAAACTATCAAATACAAGATTTGAACTTAAGTCAGGAATTTGGAGAGTGTTTCCCTAAGCCTCACTTCTCATTTTCACAACCTTGCTGCCATTGTAAGATGTTTTTAAGGATTGTCAGCCAGCAAAACTACCACAAACCAACAGTATGCTTCTACTTGCTGAAGTTAAGTACGACAACTGATCTCATCTGATGACATTGATTTATTTCAAATGCAGAGCATGGTGATGGATCTCCTTTCGATGGAAGAGGTGGCACACTGGCCCATGCATTCGCACCTGGATATGGGATTGGTGGAGATGCTCATTTTGATGATGATGAAAAATGGTCAGATGTCAATCAAGGTAAATCTCACATGTGTAGATGAAAGGGAAAGGCAAATATTGTACATGTTGGAAGAACACAGCCACAGGAACTTGTCACAGACATGTTTTATGAAAAATCCTTTCCTTAGGATTTTTTCTCCTGAGAAGCTGAGAGGCCTCAGGAACAAAATGTAAACAATGGTTATCTGCTGCTGTGGAATGCAACAGGTGGATCTGTGATTGGTCTCATGTGGTTGTTTCTAATTAATGGCCAATCACAGTCCAGCTGTCTGGATTGTCTCAGTCAGTTCACAAACCTTTGTTATCATTCATTTTCTATTCTTAGCTAGCCTTCTGATCTTCTGATGAAATCCTTTCTTCTAGTCTTTTAGTATAGTTTTAATATAATATATATCATAAAATAATAAATCAAGCCTTCTGAAACATGGAGTCAACATTCTCGTCTCTTCCCTCATCCTAAGATGCCTGCAAACACCATCACAGGAACTCTTTCCATTCCTCTTCATCCTTGAGTGCTACTTCAGTACTAACATTTCTATCCTTTTCAACTACCATTATAACTACTAGGGCTTCGTTACCATGAGCACCTACATAATGCCTGTTCTGTCCATCAGCACTTTTTGCAGGCTAAACAAGGACTGTGAGCCCTTGATTCCTACAAAAATTGTGAACAGGTAAATTGACTTGCTTCTAGGAATGCGGTCGACCAAAAGCAGAGTCCAAAAGAGCCTTGGTGTCTCTAGATGCATATGCAAGGAATCAGTAGATTTTTTATAAAATATTACAGTAATAAAAGAAAGCTCAGCAATAATGGATCAGAAGCCTGGGGTTTCATTTCAAGATGGATCGAAATATACAAATTCTCCTGCACTTTCAATTAATTGAATTTCAAAAAGAAATGCCATACCTTTAATATCCATTTATGCGCTTCTATTTTGCAGATGTCAATTTGTTCCTCGTTGCTGCTCATGAATTTGGCCATTCTTTGGGACTCGCTCACTCCAATGTCCGTGGAGCTCTGATGTACCCTCTCTACTCATATCAGAACCCACAAACCTTCAGACTTCCAGCAGATGACAGGAGAGGAATTCAGAAGTTATATGGTAAACCATGATGAAATTTGATTTTCAAGACAAAAACCTACTGGGGTACACCCTTCACTCCCCCTGATTGCAAGGGCCTCATCATGTTACCAAAAAGAAAGAAAGTGAACAAACTTGGGAAAAATCAACTCCTGCTTCCTCTGTCCACTCACTATGTTGCCTCTGTAGCCTGCTCCCACTGCAACCCAGAGGTGACAAAGCAGCAGCGCATGGCCTGCTGCTCTGTCCTCCCACACTCCTGCGTTCTGCCAAGCATTCCTATGGCCTTTGCTCTGCAAATGAGCTCTTCCAGTGAGTGGTGCTCCTGGCAGGAAAGGAGAAGTACTGTGCCACTCACCAAGTTCAGTAAAGGCAGAAACTCCTCAGCAAGAGGGGAACATAACTAGAATTGACCCCACAGGACAGAATTGTCAGGTTTGCTTTTCTTTAGGCACCGCCCTTTCTCAGGGCTTGCTAAAGGAACACTAGGAAGAAAACAGTTGTCTGCATTGACAATTTTCAGTAGGTCTCTATGCTTTTTGCTTCTTTTCCACAGGGAAAAAGCCATCAAACTCTTGAAGAAAGTGCTTAACGAAGAGCAAAGAATTCACATCTCATTGTTTTGGTCTTCCAAAACACTTTTAATCCTCCGGCTAATTAAGATGGTAAACTCCTGGGCTGCACTTTCTCTCCCTGAATTTTTATGTTGATTTATTTGCACTTTACACCATTTCACCTAACAAAAATAATAATTAAAAAATGTATACTCTGTTTTCTAGGGTTTTCTTTTTTCTTCTGGCATTTCACTGAGGCATTAAGTTACTCCTGCATGCATGACAGACAGCCAGACAATATCTTTGTTAATAGGGTTATAGGCACCTAAGGGGCCCGTGTGTGTCGACTGATGTCAGAACAGAACAGGGTTTGTTCTTACATCAGTGCCTTGCTTTAAATTCCCATGCATGTCCTGCCACTTCACAGTATTGACTCCTCAGAATCAGTGTGCTTCTCATACGGCTCACACATAGAGGAGGTCTCCATAGTGCTTCCTTCAGTCTGGGCTGGGACATTTTCTCAAAGGGAATAGTTTTTCATTATCATGTCCTCCCTGGCTTTCCAGAGAAGCAGGTTTGAGAAGCAGTGGACTGGGATTCCCATTGTCCTCTGTGATAGTCAAGCTCCCTTGGGTATTTTTAAATTTATAAAAAAAAAAAAAAAAAAGAAACAAGGAATAAAGGAATAAACACCACAGGGATTCTCCCAAGGACATTCAACATCTTCCAAATACGCAAGGTAGAAGATGTATTTATTAATAGTTTCCGACAGATGGCTCCCTGTGCACAGACATGAGGAGCACAAACACCAGATCAGTGTCACTGCCAGCATCTTCCCTGTCTCCTAAACCAGTGTTACCCAGTACAAGGAACGACCTTAAGCCAGCCCCCAGAGGTGACACAGCACAGCAGGGAACATGGTGCTTACACAGCACAACTAGGAGAGCAAATAGATCAACACTCTGACCAGTGACTATTTAACTAATACTGTGGATACTTACAACAAACTTGGTTTAACATGCCCTGGTCAGATCTGCTGCTATCTCTGCCTCCTGTAGTTGCCAAAAAGGACTGACAGTGTTCAACCCAAGAGGTAACCAAACACCACACTCAGTCCCCACGCCTCAGTGGGATGGGGAGATAAATGCAGAAAAAAAGGTAAAATAAAGGGGTGGAGACAAAGGCAATTCAATAAGACAGAAAAGGAAGCGGAAATAACAAGAAATAACAGACACAAGAAGAAGAATGAAGAAAGAATATGAAGAAGGGAATAAGAGCTCAGAAAAATAAAATTAATTATATCAGCAGCCTTAGCAATGCATATTAAGGGTGTTACACATAAATGTTCACAGATATGTGATGGGAAAGACCAGAGGAGCGACAAAAAGTGTAAGTATGCCCTGCCCCAGTGATGTCCTCTTGAATTTTTCTTCACAGTGTTAACTGAAAATGTAATCCCAAATCTTTAATCATCAAATTTAAAGCATATTAATATATATTTTTATTTTTTGCTTTTTATAAAATTAGACCTTCAACAAAATCTGCCTTAGACAGGATGCTCTTCATGGCATCATTATGATGTTTTCAGTCTCAAAAATGCCGCCATGAAGTAGCACCATTGACCTCAATGGAATTATTTGGGATTCATCTATTAGAGTAAAAATGCTAGCAAAGCACTAGAGAAAATATTATCTGGTTTGGCTATTTTTACACCAGGAGCCATCACAAGCCAGAGAGCTACAGGTAATCACTCTTTGTTGGACAAGGCTGAGGAAAATTATTAAGGGGTGAAAATTGTTACTGTTTTCTGTCAGCCCTAAAGTGTACAGACAATAAAACAAAAATCATAGAGAGAAGCAGCAGGCTGCTCAGGTATATAGAAAAATATGGAAGTCTATCCACATCAGGAAAATAGAAAACATTAGATGTCTTCTACTTGGCCACATGAAATGATCTGACAGAGCTGCTGTACTGTGGGCAGTGAGAGAGTCACTATTTCTTGAATCTCAAAAAGCAACACACTCCCAATTAAATGCTATGGAAGATTTTAAAAGAAGAAGGAGGTACATTTTTACACAGCAAGCAATTCAGTTATGGAATTCATTAACACAGAGTATTCAATGACAGTGTTCACCCAAATTCATAAATGGAATTTGGAAGGTTAGATATATTTTTTGTAGCATAACAGCTACTAAGCATGAGGGTATGGTGGGAAGTAGAGTCTCACTGTTTTGCTGAATAACAAAGGTAGGATCCATCTAAATTGACCCAGTTGTGCTAACATTGCAAGACTTTCTACAGGGAAAAGGAAGCACCTTGTCTACAAAGGCTGGTTAAGGAGTGCATCGAACATTTCAGTGACTGTTTCGCATTAGAAGATCACATGGATGTACTTATGTACCAAGATTTCAAGTTCTTTTCTTGGAAATCACTTGGGACAGAGCTACTGTCCCAACAGCAAGGCACACCACCCTGTTCTAAAGGCCATAATGAGGCTGAAAGGGATCTGTGGTACTACTGTGGGCTTCCTCTAGATGAATTCTTGCCTCAAAGCAGAGATATCCAGGAGCTAAGTAAGGTGGTGCCAAAAAAGCAGTTTGCATTCAACACCAATGGACACAGCTCAGGCATGAGTTACAGAATACAGCATGAGTAAGCATACTCACAGGAATGCCAAAAGCATGGGAATGCCTTTCCATTAATGCTGAGCAAAAATCCTGAAGGTAAAATTGAATCTCTAATGTTAAATATCTTTTATTTTCAATTACTGGACAGCATGGTAGTGCTCCTGAATGCAGACTGCTTTAGACAATTAATTCATTCCAAGTTCAACCAGTACTCTGAAATAAATGGTTCCCCAATTAAAAATCAATTTGTGCATTACAAAAATGAGATTTGTAAAAGATCAAGAATAATGTTCTTGTCATTTGTGACTGGACATAGGATCAGGAATAGCCCGAATCAGTACTGTCTCATCTTTCCTTAAAGGGAATCAGTCTTATTATAATCATAGTATTTATGCCTAACAGAGCCTTTCTTTCTCAGGATGGTTACAACTCACAGCAGTTAAGGATGAAAGGGAAAAGTATTGCAAAATACACTAAAAGATTTCCTAGTGTTACTTTAATGCTTCCAATGTTGCTCTAATTTTGAATATTTGGGGGCATATGCAGTATGAACTGCCATTGCTTTGAAGTAGAAAAGTATATAATAATGGTGCTGTTGTTGGTAATTTGGCTTAGCAGAGACATTTTTGCCTCAAAGTTCTTGCAATATTTTCTAGGGGTTCCAAATATGGATGGAAAGAACAGTAGAAGAGGTGGGAAAGAATTATAATGAGCTGAATTTAACTTTTTCTCTCTGGTTGTGTTATTTTCTTCATTCCTATTTTCTTCATTCATTCATTGCCAGAAATAGGAATGAGGATTGATTCTTTGCATAAAAATATTAAGACTTTTACCTCCTGGGAGCAAAAAATTAGGTAATAATTTGAGAAGAAGTCAAAATGCTGGCACTACTCTAATATTGGCACAATATTCTTTTAAGTGTGCCTTAACTTTGTAAATAAAACAAAACCACTAAAAGTTCTCCTTATTCAAAAATATATAATTTAAATTTAGCAGTGAATAGAATACTTTCCGATAATAAGAAATATGATCAAGGAAAAAATCCCTTTTCTTATTCAAGTTTGCCATGGCTATGAAGCAGAATGTTTGTATCATATCACTATCAGACTACTTCCATAGTTCCAACAGCTCAGAGTTCATACACATTGCAAACCATGATCAAAAGAGGATGGATAATTAATGGTCAGTATTTTCCAGTGAGCTATTTGCTCCCACAATATGATGTCTACAGTACAGAAATGGGGATGTGGGATGCTCTATAAACACTCCCTGTATATAAAATGAGGAATGAGATCACCTATTTGGAAGTGTCTGCCAGCTGTGCAGATCTAAGCTGCTTGCCAGATCAGCTCAATAATTTCTCCATGTTCTCTCATACAACCTTTAGGAAAGCCCATGCAAATTCCACCCCCCATTACACTGCCCATCTTCATATTCTGGTTTAACACTGGGTTTCAATAAAAAGGTGCTTAGGAATCCAGCATACCTATCACTAAATGCACTAATCCTAACCTTTGCACGCTGTTATCCTGAAATTTTTATTACCCTGCTATCTCTTAGTTCTAATTTCTGTTGTAAATCTTTCAGTTGTTAGCTGTGCTTTCATCATGTTTATATGGTACCTAAAATGATTTGCCCTCTGTTCTGTTTGTTTGGCCTCCTTGTTATTACAGAAGAGGAAGCAATAAAAAATAATATTCACCCCTTTCCCACAAATTAATTACATGCTAGAAGTAGTACCTTGGCACTAGTTTATTTAACAATTAAAAAAATCACCTAGCAAGAATATCAGTGTGAATACCCCGGAAGTGCCTGACACAAACACATTGATCTTAAAAGGATCCTGCGTCCAGAGTATTTTTGTCAACCTGATTGACATTCTTCCGGGCACCTGTAGCTTCTGCACTTCACATGTAAAATGTTGCCACTACATCTCTGAATAAAATATATTGCAGTGCAATCTACTCATCCATTCTGAGAATATCACAGTTTTTTCACATCTTCAATCCCATTTATTACTCATGAGATTAAAGTTCTATTTTACCAAGCAAAGGATGCACTGAACCCACATGAAAGTAACCAGAAGTTTTATAAATCAAGCCTTAAGTGCCTAAATGTATTATTTATTTCAAGCAGTAATTTAAAGAGTTGAAAAAGAAGCATCACCTGGTAATTTGTGCTACCAAAGAAATTCAAACTGTGAAAGTTACATTATTGCCTGTTGGCACTTCATTTCTAGGTTATGTCTATAAAGCACAGGAAAAAGTACCATCTTTGTAATTACTTCAAATTTAATTTCAGGTATCAGATGATATAAACTGTGCATTCGCAAGCTGATGTGCAGCATCCACAGCCACAGATGCTTCAAAGTGTACCTGCTTCAGCATCGGCCACAATC